CCAAATCCCCCCCCCAAATCCCACCTGATAAAGGCCGGAGCTCGCCCGGCCCCGCCAGAGGAGCCTTCATCACCGGCCCGGTCCTCGCCCTCCTCATCCTCGGCCCGGCCGCGCTCCGGAACCTTCCAGTAAGGACCCCCGGGACCTTCCTCCTCCTCGTTCTTGGGGTCCAGAACTTTCTTCTGCTTCGTTTTTGTGTCCGGGATCTTCCTCAGCCTCGGTTTTGGGGGTTTGGGGCCTTCCTCATCCTCTGGGACCTTCCTCATCCTCATTTCTTGGGTTTGAGATCTTCCTCAGCCTCAGTTTTGGCCGCCTGGGATCTTCTGTCACTTTTTTGGGGGGGTCTGGGACCTTCCTCATCCTCGTTTTGTGGCGTTCCAGGGCCCTCCTCTTCTTCCTGCTCCTCCTCCTGCCGTCCTGGACCTTCCTCCCTATTCCAGGGTCCAAAACCTTCCTCATCCTCCCTATTCCAGGGTCCAAAACCTTCCTCATCCTCCCAATTCCAGGGTCCAAACCTTCCTCATCCTCCCCATTCCAGGGTCCAGAACCTTCCTCCACATTCTGGGACCCAGAACCTTCCTCTTCCTCCCCATTCCAGGATCCAAAACCTTCCTCATCCTCTGTAGTTTGGGGGTCCAGAACCTTCCTCCTCCTCATTTTTTTGAGTTCCAGGACCCTCCTCCTCCTCCTCCTCTTCCTCCTGGCATCCCAGACCTTCCTCTCCCCCCCATTCTGGAATCCAGAACCTTCCTCTTCCTCCCCATTCCAGTATCTAGAACCTTCCTCCTCATTCCGGGATCCAGAACCTTCCTCTTCCTCCTCATTCCGGGATCCAGAACCTTCCTCTTCCTCCCCATTCCCGGACCCAGAACCTTCCTCTTCCTCCCTATTCTGGGCTCCAAAACCTTTCCCCCCCCATTCAGCATCCAGAACCTTCCTCCCCCGCTCACCCCCTTTTCTCTTTCCCTCCCAGGCTCTTCCTCCTCCTCCTCCTCCTCCTCCTCCTCCCCGCGGGGGCCTCTCCTCGCCCGCCATGGGCAACGCCAAGAGCGGGGCGCTGTCCAAGGAGGTGCTGGAGGACCTGAAGACGAGCACGCGCTACTCGGAGGAGGAGCTGTGCCGCTGGTACGAGAGCTTCCAGCGCCAGTGCCCCGACGGCCGCATCAGCCGCTCCGAGTTCGAGAAGATCTACGGCACCTTCTTCCCCAACTCGGACCCGCAGGGCTACGCCCGCCACGTCTTCCGCAGCTTCGACACCAACGACGACGGCACGCTGGACTTCCGGGAGTACATCATCGCCCTGCACCTCACCTCCTCCGGAAAGACCCACCTGAAACTCGAGTGGGCCTTCTCGCTCTTCGACGTGGACCGCAACGGCGAGGTCAGCAAGAGCGAGGTGCTGGAGATCATCACGGTGAGGAATTTGGGGTTTGGGAATGGGAAATGTGGGGTTTGGGAATGGGAAATGTGGGGTTTGGGAATGGGAAATGTGGGGTTTGGGGTTTGGGAATGTGGGATTTGGGGTGTGGGAACGGCGAGGTCAGCAAGAGCGAGGTGCTGGAGATCATCACGGTGAGGAATTTGGGGTTTGGCAATGGGAAATGTGGGGTTTGGGAATGGGAAATGTGGGGTCGAGGTGCTGGAGATGATCCCGGTGAGGAAATTTGGATTTGGGATCACGGGAATGGATCACCCCGGAGGGGAGGTTTGGGATCCCCTGGGAAAGGGGGGATCCCCTGGATCCGGGAATTCCCATCGGGATCTGGGGGAGGGGCTGTGACCCTCTGGCCCCTCCCCCACCCAGGGTCTGCCCTGCTCCCCAATTAACGCCGGGGCGCTAATTGGCTTTGCCCCTCCCCCGCTCCCCT